ACTGGGCTATTTCAGTTGCTCTAGCGAGAGTAGTATCGTCTGGCTCTAGAAGCAAGCGTTCCCTAATTCGTTTCATAGACGTGAACGTAATAAAATGTCCTCGGATGATTTCATCTGTCAAATCACCATATTCACAGTATTTAGCCAGTTCTTTCAAGGCAGTAATAAATTCAATTATTTTCTCACCTGGACGTTGAACTCTTTCTTGAAATGTATTTCGAGACATAATGACCGACTTTCGTTTTCCAAAACGAGCTTTGAGGGCATCGAGTGCATTTGTGTACGTATCTGTGTTGGCCAAAGTTCTAAATATTCGTTGTCCTTCATCACCCAAACAATGAAACAATATTGCTTTTCTTCTGTCATCGGAGACATCTTCGCCGTCTAAGGCATTAGCAATTAGATAATTCTTGAAACCCTCTATCCATCTTTGATACGGAATCGGTGGATCGCCGGGTGAAGCGAGAAAAGGTGAAGGAGGAGGCAACGAACCTACTAAATTACCAGCCCTTCTTCTTCAGGTTCATCCTCGTCGCCAATTTGTTGTGTTTGCGATGGCCATAAAGATGCATAGTTGATTAAAACTTAAATTTATTATACATGAAATTCTTACAACAATGGCGGTCAGCCCGCCGACCTACTACAAAGTGAATGACGTCATGTGACCTCGTGCAAAGCAAGCAACCAGAAGCGTATATACTGTTTCGGCGTCACATACGTTCGAACCTAGACACAACAGATAGGATGATTGCAAGCAGTATATTTATTTATGTTATATCTTTAACATTTTGGGGAATGAGGAATTTGTTCAATTTAATGACATTTTTCAGGTATTATTTTTCAGGTATTATCGTGGTGCTGTAGGGGCGTTGGTTGTATATGATATAACTAAACAGTTAACATTTGAAAGTCTGGAGAAATGGTTAGAAGAATTACGAGAACATGCAGATCCTAATTGCAGAATTATGTTAGTAGGCAATAAGATAGATCTGAATCATCTCAAAGAGGTT